TAGGACTGGATAGGAGGTATTGTGCGGAGGCCATGCCCATTACTCATCCGCTGGCAACGGGCTCTCTTCCTTTTGTCTGGAGAGACGGTAAACTTTCAATGCCATCTGAAAACAGAAGGCCTTTCACAGAGTGCAAGAACTCTGCCATCTCAATCATGTGAAAATATTGTAAACACTTTCCCAGCCCCCATTCAGCTGTCCGAAAAGCAGAGTTAGAAAACACCAAACAAAACAGGAAGGAAAGAAAAGGGTGTGCACTGCGCACTTTGCTTTAATTTATATTTTTTACTCTGAATAGGAATTTTTCTTGGAATTTTCCTTTCTTTTCCGTAATGTTAGTGAGCAGGTTAAGTAGCTATTATGGAGAAAAGGCAGCTAAAAGCCTATTCTATGTTTTATTTAGAGCAGAAAAAAGGGTCTAGTGCCCAGCAGTTTCTCTCCAGCATAGCAGCTCTCATATTTCCTTACAGCCCCTGCAAGAATAGATTTCAAATGTGCTACAGGACTTGAATTTCTCTTTCAGTACTTAGGTTGACCCACTTCTGTGAACTTTTTCCAGAAGGGTCTTCTCCCCAAACATTTAAACATCACAAGTGTTGTATTTCTGATATACCACAACATGTACAGAGTGGGAAGGGACTCACATTCACAAAGAAGAATATGTTCAAAATGTGTGTACATGTATTTGTTCACATGTATATCAAACATACAACATAAGCAAAAATATACCCGTCATTTGCACAAAAAAACTACTGGTTTGCCTTTGCCTGATGACACCTTTTATGTACATTGTGCTCTCGCACTGTACCCTTAACTCTGGACAGTTTTTTTCACAGATGCTTTTTAGTTATGTGAAAGTGATGTAGTTCCTTGCTCAAAAAAGGTTGTGTTAATTCTGCTAAAGCCAGGGACTACTTGAAATTTCACAGTAACTTTGAACCATGGGAACACATTAGCACCACAATTCTTCACTATTTGAAGTATGAGGCTTTCATTTAGATTGGTCAACTTAACACCAGAGGGGCAAAGAAAAACAGCTCTGCTGGTGGGAAATACACTTTGTTCCTTTTTGTTCCGTTTGGTCCTGAGTCAAATCTGAACAGAGCACAAGTAGGTGAACCTGGATGTATTCCTGCTCCCTCAAAGGCAAACGCTCTGCTCCTAACCTAGGAAAGGGTCAGCTGTTATCCAGGACTTCCAGAGGGATATATCACTCCTATCTTATTTCTTATGAGTATTTAGCAAATAGTACACACTGATGGAAATGAGTCCCCAACAGGACAGCGAGAACTGACAGCTGTAGGAGCACATCATGTACTAGGCAGGCTCTTTTACCTGATTTCCCTTCACTCTCTGCAAATGCAGACAGTTTGCATAACTAAGAAAGAAGGCTTTCTTAGTTAAATAGACTGATATGAAATGTCTTACACCCACACCATGAGAACACAGGCTCATAGGCTGGGGAGTTAGGAAAAGTAGTTGCCAATAACTGAAGCAGGGGTTGATAAACTGCTACACATTATAAATTCTCAAATGCATTCCTTGGGACTGCCTTGCACATGCTATCTCAATACTCCCCTCCTCCCCTCTGCATTTTATAAAAAGAAGCTGCAATAAATTAGAATTTTATGAGACTCCAAATAAAAACCTTCACTAAAATTGAAAACAAGACATGGATGTAGAAGCATATGGAAGGTTTATGAAAGCAGAGGAGGAAAAAAAATTATCCCAAGGCAATAAAAAACCTGTCTGACTCTTGGTGTTCACAAACCAAGAATTACTAGAGACAGATGAAGAAGTTTTGAACAATACAGTACTGGTACATCTTCCAGAAAGAGACATTCTAGTTTTTATTTATTCTTCTGATGCAAGGCAGCCTGGTAAGAACTACTCTAAGGCACATTTTCTGAAATTCTTTATAAAACACTTCAAAGTTATACATGGAAATGAGATACCTTTCTGCTTTGATCCTTGGTATAAGGCTAACCAAGCAGAAGTGGCTTCCTGGCCTTTCATACAGTTTTCTTGGGAACTAAACACTGCGCCCTCTGAATTCTTGCACTAGGATTCTAAATATTTTATGGAATAAAGGCAGTTTTGTTTAATTTATATTTTCATCTTTGTTCCAAACCTCAGAGTGATTCATTCTGGCCACTGTATATACAGTTTTACTCCTAATGCTTTTTTCTTTCCACTACTTCTCCCATCCTCACTACTCCCTGCTCCCAGAATGGTGTGGGTATGGGATGTTGTTTTAACTAAATGATAGAGTGGCTATTAAGGATTGCTTTGCTTTATTTTTAAATACAATATTCCACATTCCAGACATTTCTACCAAACACAGTGGTTTGAAAATGAATAATTGTGCAAGCAATGAAATTTGGATCTGGTTCTAAATTGACAAAAAATACTCTAAGAATTTTTAGATTTTTCTTCTCTAAAATGACTGAAAGCTAGGGGCTAAGTTATAGGGATATGGTTCAGCATCTTATGTTGGAAGAGAAAATCCTGTAGTACATTTTGTTCTTTGAAAATAAATGCAGGTTGGACTCAGTGCCCAAATAAAGCCTCTGAATTTCTAATTTTCATTTATACAGGATGCAAATGATACTGACCCATAACAAATTATATTATATTGTCTTAGAAGTATACTGATTTTACACTCCTGCTAAACTGATCAGTTGTGAAGTGGTTAAAAGTTACAGCCATTAAATGATCTTTGTTTCTCATACCCAGTTAAAAATTAATTCAAAGTGTGCTCAAGTGTGTGCAATGGATGGCAAGGATTGCTCATCATGCCACATCCATCAGCTGCCAAAGGCAAATAAGTTCTGGAAAGTAGGTGAGAAAACAAAGTCGAGGACATCCCATATCAGAGTGGGAGAAGTGTTTTTACAGCACAGACAAGCCCATGGTCTGGGGAGGTGGTGTTTCTACAGAGAAACTGTAGAAGCTGCCCAGGGCTCTGTGCTCAGAAGATTCACTCTCTCTTGGAAACAAGAATGTACCTAAGCATCATAGAAACAAATATCTGAGGCTACCTGGGGTTTTGCACCTTCCTTTCGATACAATCTTACTGAAACTCAGGAATCCTTTCCTCAGTGCTATGACTTAAGCAAACACGATTGAAATATCATTCTCTCAAAAGAAAACCAAACAATACTGTGACAAACAATTATTAAGAGCCTTTGTTTGCATGATACCTCACAGAAGTTGAGAATTAAGAATCTTTGGTCTTCTTCTACATTAGTCAGGAGAGGCGATGGGAGGAGAGATGAGATATTCAGAACTTGAATAGGATTGTCCTGATTTCTATTTTATTCATTTTGAATACCCTTCTTTTTTTTTTATTTCAGCCCAGTCCCTGGTTTCCTGTGTGCAATCCCACTAACTCATTCAAGACATTCTCCTCTGGTATCTGTAGAGATGGCAGAATACCACAATTTTCAGATATTGAACAAGATATCCATAATTATTCAAAGATGGGCCTATAAACTCAGCTACTGAATAAAAACAAACTATACACTTGTCTTTATACTGTAGAGGATGAACTTACACAATTCTGCAAGAACTGATGTTAGTGATTCAAGCCTAATGACAAAGTTTGTTTCCTTTTAATTTATTACAATAGCTGTAACAACTTCTGACTTTTCATTTTTTTAGAGACCATTCCTAATAATGACTCTTTCCCTCGAATTATTTTGCCACACAAAATACTCATACCTAAACACTGCAAAAATTAAGAGCACTACAAGGAAAATCAAGCAGTCCTGTGAGTCTTGCGGATGCAATCCCAAGCAAAGGCAGGGACCCCTCTGAAGCATGGTGCCTAGCTGGAGCTCACACCTTTCAGCAATGGTGACAAGTGGCCATGAGTCCCTCCCTGAGGCACACAGCTCTGGGAGGGACAGCACAAGGGACCAGCACCCCCTTCACCTCTAAGGAGTCTCCCAAAAGGAGGGTGGCCTGAAGTTCATCACTGTGGATCAATTCCACAGTTTCCCAAGGCAAATCTTGACTCTCTTCCCTCCACAAAGTTCACGTTGCCTGCTGCCCCAAACATCTCTATTTCCCCATCTCTGGGGAAGAGAAGTCTAAACACAGCTGTCAAGTTCTAAAATCAGCATCAAAGCTCAGTAAAAGTGGGAGGGGAAAACAATATGCTTTGTTAAACAATCCTGCCTCAGATCTCAAAGGGTTATACAATGAAAGTAATACCCACTTGGAGTTCTGTCTGTGGCAAGCATTACCTAACATCCTCAGTCAGAACCCCACTGTTTATGAGGTGATGAGAAAAGAATACAGCTCCCTCTTGTCAGTAGGACATCTCCACTGCCCTGCAGGACATTTTCTTGCTATATTTCAGATGTATTGGATCTTCTAGAGATTAGCAAAGTAAAACATGCACTGTGCATTCTGGAGCCATCACCTCTCTTGGTCAGTTCATAGGTTTGGCAAGGTCACAGCAAACACTCTTTTACATCATATGTCTTACCTTTTGGCTGTTTTACTCCTCCTCAGGAACTCAAAAGGATTAAAACAGGTTTAACAAACCAGAAATAGAAATATTTATGTTTGGTAACATTGGAATTTCTAAACATTTCTCATTTCTTCCCTTTCCCACTGATACCAATTCCCAGTCTTTGAGCCATGTGAAGTGGCTTAAAAGTTACTTCTCAGAGAAAAAAAAGTTTGTCTGCTAAATCACCCCACATACATAATTAAGGCTTTCTGTTGCACTAAAGGTATTACAATTACCACTGTGTATGTCTATATATAAGATACATTTATGTATGCGTGTGTTACATATTCATCTTGTCCTATACAAGTCAGCTTTCCTCTTTTGTAGTTCTATAGACATCCATTTTTATGCTTAGTATGAATCCTTATGGTGGTCTAACATGAACATGTGCTTAATGTAAACTACTGAATTCACCAGTTTGTTGACACCCTGATCTCAGTATATTCCTTTAAACTCCAGTAAAGATGCAGTAACTCACCTGAACAGCTTTATTGGCAAAATTCATTTTTCCTCTCAGCTGAGCAGGGAGAGAAGCTTAGAGCTGACATCAGGACATTCAGTGTCTGCTTTTCAGGAATCTGAGGTGAGCACGGTCCTCTCCACAGCCTTCCCAGTGTTCTTCTGGAAGGGTCCTGAGCCACTGTGTTGGCTCAGAGGAAACAGGTTCAGGAAGAAAAAAAATAAGTATATTGAATGGCACAAGAGCTTTCTAACACCCAAATGAACAGGTGAGTTGCACAACCTTTGGCCTAAAGGGTCTCTCAGTGGGCAAATCAACCTCAACACTTGCCTGTGCAGCAGGATGGAGGTGGCCACGGGAGGAGTGAGAGACATTTTAGGGTCCAGACAGGAGAATGTTAGAATTTTAGCTGGTCTGCAACAAAACAAAAGTGGAGGAATGAGGGGAAAGGGATCACTTTTCTCTTGGTACAAAATAGCTACTGCAAGGTGTCACATTTCAAAGTCTACCCTAAATGAGCATGCCAGGCCATCACCAAAATAAATATGTGATTTGTGTATTCCCGAAATACATACACTTTCACCAAAATAATTCTTTCCATTCGTTCCATTTCCAGTTTCTTCACCAGAGAAGGGTTGTGAAACAACGAGCTCCCTGGGGCTATTTCCCCATCTGTGACATCATATACAAAGCACCTTATCTCTGCAAAATGCCTGGGGGTCTGCAGGAGAAAAAAGCAAACACACACAACCACCCTCATCTCCTCCTCCCAGGGCTCAGGCAGGCCTCTAGCTCTCAGCCCGGCCTTTGCTGTTATGCCCAGTTTGAGCCCAAGGAAATTCCAATGCACTCCTCTTCCTGAGGCTCTCGTTTATTTAAACAGGTGGGGACCAGGATCTCTGTGCTTCCCAAAGTGCTGCTGCAGCTGAACCAGCAGCCACAGGTATCAATTAAGAATGTGCACTGGGACAGGAGAAACACAGCAGCCCTTTCTAGAGCTTAAGTGCTGGCAAAGTCAAAAACATTGCTCAGATACTCTGTAAATTTCTCAACTCAGAAAACCATTAGCTGGCATTGTTGCATAAACTCAATACAATAATTTCTTTAAGGCTGTCCCACCACTCTATTATCTGTCATTAATTTTCCATATGTTCCCCTCACCACTGCTCTTAGGCTGGGTTTGGTTTACAGGGTTGGATCAGATTTCTTTACAAGCCAGGACATTTGCTGGCTTGCTTACTAGCTTGAGGCCAGTTATGTTTGAGTGAGGCCCAAGCAAAACAAGTGAGATTTGGTGATGTTCCAGTGAGTAGGCACCAAATCCACATGATCCAAAGTTGTTGTTTTTTAAAAGTTTTAAATTTTTAAAGTAGAAGCTTTACCATTATTTCAGGAGTTTTTAAATTATTTTTTGTTTTTAGGGTTTTTTTTATCAGCTCCTAGCTGATACTTGCTCAAATGTTGCAGCATCCCTCTTCTTATAATAAAGCAGAACTTTATGTTCTGTTTTCTTTGCACTAACCATAAGGCAAAAGTTTATCAGTTATCTGTACTTTCAATCACAGATGGGCAAATGCATCAATATATTTGGAAAAGAGTAGCTGATGAGAAGAAGATGAATAAACCATTTTGTTTCTAGTCTTTCTGCAGGATAATGAAGTCTAGTGTTTGCAACTCTTTATTTCAAAAACAGTCAGAGTTCATGTGAAACCCTCTAATTCAAATCTGATTTCTAGAAACATTCCTTATGCTGTCACAATGTAAGTCAATAAAGAATAATTAAAAGTGAAGTGTCCTTCCATCCAAGCCTTAAAAATAAATTAAACTGTACCCATATAATCACTGATACGCTAACTATATCCTGGATTATTTCATTCCTTTTTTCTCCCTTCTTCCAGGTTTATTATTCTCAACGCATCTGAAATGTATTTTAAATGCTTTGGGACAAGGACTGTTGTAAACTGCCAAGAATACTTGAGGCCTTCTGGAAGTGCTGAAGTAGAATTCCGAAAGTAATTTGACACTGAAGAACCTTCAGACCATCGAAAATCCCCAATTTTATATTCCCCACTGCATAGGCACAGAAATTTACAGTAGCAGAACCAGAGTACACTCCAAATGTGAGAAAAAATGAAAATGCCAGTATTATATACTGTGTTTCAGGCTGAGTCAAACACAGGGTATCATGCTAGTTAGCAGCAGTTCAAAAATATCCTGAATGCAAAGGGGTTCTTTCAAAAGTATATGTCTTGTCTGCTCCTAGCTGGTGCAAAGACATTCCCCATGGTTTTGCTCCATAAATTCCAGCATGGTGTTATAGATGTTGTAACAGATGTTATATGAATGCTGCACATAAATGTCACAATGCCCATATTGTTATTTTTAGCAGCACTTATCAAGGTAAGCAAGCACAGCCCACGTAAAGCTAAGCATTTACATAAATACAGACAAATATTTTGTTCTGGACACAAGCAATGTTTAGGCCCTGCATGGCTGAAAACCATAGCTCCTGACTTCCAGGAGTGTGCTTGCATGCTGGGATCCAGAGGTTTGGGAAGCAGAGAATTCAGACATCTCAAACAAAAGACTGAGCAGGAGCTGCTCAAGTGAGCCATTAGGAAATGCAGAAGGTATTAGACTTAGCTTAAACCTCTCTGGAATTTGGTCACCTATCTCAAGGCAGGGATTACCATCCGTCTCCACTGCTAGCCAGACCTCCTCCACCAAAAGAGTAAAGAAGTGGGTGCTGTTGCTGCCAGATTTGCTTTCAGCAATTGAGTTACAACCAGAGCACTCCCTCAGACTGCAGGAGAGCTGGGCTCCCTTCCCTCCAGGCATCTGAATCTGTATTTTCCCCACCTGTGCTGAAAACTGTCATGCTATGGGCTATCCTGCTCTAGAGAGTTCCACCTTTTCCTTCTCTTTTGGTATGCTTAGGAAATGAACCCAAACAAAACTGAACATCAATCAAACCTTTTTTGTTTTTCTCCTTCACATTTAATATTCTTAGAGGGACACTTTATTAACTATCTGAGGTTATTTACAAAATAACAGCAAGTACTTCTTTAAATACCAATATCCCACAAAGCAAATTACCATTTGATGAAGGAAAGGTTAAATAAATAATCCAGCATAGAGATGAGAGAGTAACTACCACAGTCAGCCTTCTCAGGCACAGCAAGTGTTCTGCCCAGCCCAGTAGCTTGTCCCACCACATCTCAGAGACATCCCCTTTTTTATGTTTGCTTTATGACTTTTACATATAAAAATGTATACACACATGTGTTACATGGGGAAGAAGGGAAGGAGACTGAAAGAAAAGAGCCTCAGTGATGAAATGAAACAGATCATCTAGGAAAAGGCAAGTTTGCAAGTCACTGGCAAAAGTGCAGTTTTTTGCTTATTATAGAGAGAATAAAGGGAGGAGAGACGAGTCCACACACTGATGTCACTGAAATCCTTGCAGAGATCAGGACTACTGTGGAACCACCAAAAAACACCATCCACAATTAAACATGGAATTGAACAAGAAGAGAGAAAATTAGAGGAGATAGCTGGGAAAGAAAAGTCACAGAAGCCAAGAAAGGGCAAAAATTCAAGGAGCTGGTAGGGTGAACAGAGAGAGCAAGTGATAGGTAAAGAAAGATGAGGTTGCAGAATAGACCTGTGACTGGATCAGGAAAATCCCAGTGGGGGATTAACTACACACTAGGGGTTTCTGTGCTTAGGTACAAAAAGCTTTGCAAGCCAGATTTTTGGCAAAACTTCATGAGTTCCACACTGGAATAATTAAAATAAAAGCTGTTCAGTGAAGTTATTTTTGGTGGGCATGTTTGGATCAGAGAGTGGAGTTGTTGAGCACAGTATAATACATGCCAAAAGCCCTATTATGTGCCTGCCACTGAACCCTGCCATACTTGGAAATGTGTTCAAAAACTGTGGTAGAGAATCCTTACTGGCTTCACACTTGAATGACAAACCAGTGCTGCACATTTAGTTGGAGGTCGGGGCACGGGTCCCGGGACATTTCTGCTGGAGGTGGGGCCCTCTTGGGGTTGAGTCTGAGCAGGGAGACATTTGCTCTGCAGCAGACCTCAGAGAGGGCAAGAGTGTAGTCTAAATTGGCTATTCCTACTTAAAATTCATATACATATATACATATATATATATATATATATTCTAGAGTGACAGGGGCATAGAAGCCAACGAAAGGATACATATACCATGTGTTTTTATACCATGTGGTGACCCTCCTAGGTGATGAAATGGGGTGCTCATGCCAAACATCCCTTCACAGCTGAAATAGACAGGCAAACCAGATGGTAAAGCATTAAGAACCATTAGAAAAATATCACTCCATTTAGGTATAACATTTTTGTTTTCTTGCAGTGGAGTTCCTCAAAGGATCCCCACAGAGAAGCTTGGTGCTCTTCTGAGTGTTCATTCACCATAGGCTTTTTTCCTTGAAAAACCACATAATACTGAAGTTTCTGTAACTGGAGACCAACAGGATACAAAATAATTCCTGAGAAAACAGCCATGAACCAGAAATTTCAGAGGAGGTCACAGAAGGCACCTTTGGATTAGGGATTGTACCTGGCCCAGAACCTAACCATTGTTTGTAGGGAAAAGTTGTAGACTTTTAAGGAAATTCAAACTACTTTAAACCCACACACCAGGTATAGGGCTTGAAGTGGCTAGAGCAACCTGAAACATTGCAACAAACTGTCACTATTAATCTACTAGGGAGCACAGGCTCCTGAGAACACACAAACAGGGCACATACCCAATTTCCTAGTGAAACCATACCCACAGTACAGCACTGCTTCTCCTCATGCCAGAAACTTTTTCCTCAAGAATGTCTCCTTCCTTCAGCACCCAGCTCCTGATGACTCACAAGAGCAAACTGCCTTCCTTTTCTGTGAAGGATTTTTTTCCCTCTACACTGGACAATGCAGGTTGACACTACCTGCTTTATGCAAACACAGCCTCCAGACAATAACTTTCCAAATCAGACTGTTACTGAAAGAGAAAAAGAAATAATATGAGAAAGTTCTTAAAAAACAAAAGAAAAAGAGTTACATATATTTATCTGTTCAGTGGTGGGGGTGGTGTATGGTAGTGGTTGCAATTTACCAAATTCTTATTTAAGCGACTCAGACTCTCCCAGCATTTAACGCAGCCCTGAATGTGTTAACTAGCATGTGTGAGGCCAGAGTTCTTGTGAACTGTTGTATTTCTGTCATCTGAAAGCTAAACACTGCATTAAGAAAGTCCAAATGGTGGCTTCATCCTCAAAATGACAGCAAAAAGAAAAATGTTTGCACTTTTCCCCTGCTAAGGAGAGGATTGGAAGGGAGAAGTTCTCTCTAGACACTCCTTTATTCTTGTGATAGCAAGAGCTGTGCTGCTAA